TTCGTGGTATCAGAGCCAGGTTCAAATCTTGAACCGAATTGGATCAAATCTGAACCTGAGCAAATGGGCAGAAGGGGTTCTATCCGATTTGCACAGATATAAGGTTTTTCTAGAAAATTTGTTTCTAGTTGATGGGCGATTGATCTGGAATTAAATTTTATAAATCTGATTATTATTTAGAATTTTTCTTTATAATCTTCTTGATTTATGGGCTGTTCATACACATGGAGATTGAAATCTTGATTGGCGCAGGGGACCTGCGTTTTTGTAGTTTCTTGATTATTTTATTACATTTGGTATGTAAAATATTTTTTTATTTTTTAGACTGAATGTATAGGCATTCGATCTGATGTAATATTAATAGAAATTAGGTTTTCTATTTATTTTATTTTGGATCGAAGATGGCAGCGCAAGGAAGGAGATTTCGCAGATGGGAAAATCGCTATCTGCGATTTGCAGTTTATGAAACTGCAAACTGTGATCTAACCTCTGTTTTACAGGATGGTTTGTGCGAACAGCCCTATCTGACTGATTCTTGTTTTTCTTTTATCAACATTTAATTTCAGAATAATTTCTTGAATTAAATCTTTAATTAAAGATCAAACCCTAGACCCATTCGAACCAGATTGGTCCAAACTGGTTGGACCAAATCTAGGGTTCGATCAACGCTGAATGTCAGCCCTAATTCTCCCACTAATGGGCCTAAGGATTGATAATTAATTGAATGTTTAATTCGGCCCAACCTGTAAAGGCCCAGTTTTAAATTGTTAAAACTAGTAAAAGCCCACTTGACAAATAAAGCTATATGGATCAAATTGATCAACCCTAATTTCAGCCCATATACCTAGATAATATTAAGGGCTTTAAATGGGGTTTACAGTTATTAATTGATTGGATCAATTATTCCCTACATGTGATGTATGGATGTGTGATTTGCTACGTTCATGGGCCATAAGTGCTTGGCCCATGCTGATTCGATAGTGGATCTTATGCACACTATGTCTGAATGCACATCATTGCCATGGTGTCCCTATTGATCATTGGATGACCTCCCTCAGTGGTGGGCCCACACCTCCTGAAGAGAAAATGTGCGAAACCCTAGCCGATTTGGGCCCACTAAAATCTAGCTTTGTGAAAGTCAGTGGGAGTCACTTTGGTTTGACCTAAATCAAACTAGCCGATTTGGGCTTGTCTGAGTGTTTCATAAGATGATAGGGGCGTCATAGACCGATATGGGAGGGGCTTCACCAGAAAATGGGAACTCTCTCACGGTACCTTGGCGTTCACAAATATGAGGGGCTTCACCGATAAAGGGAGTTGCTTAACTTGACCCTCTGTGAATTGAACGCACAGGATGTAGAGTGGATTGTGAGTGTCGGGAATGACCTCTATCAAGCAACTGTGGCCTTCAACGTACATGGTCACGAGGTATCATTTACCAACGAACTCCGTCCATCACCGAGAGCTAGCATACAAACAACGACTGCTATATGAATCCACCACATCATAGAAGCCCACCACGTCCGCGTGGTGGATGTCAGATACCCAAAATACCACAAGCAACCATCACTGCATTTTGTACCACAAAGTAACTAATCATATCTATTGCCATATATTTTGATTAGTAGTTGTATCGTCCCTACAACACTCCACCCCCACCCAACCAAAACACTATTGCAACACCAAGGAACCACCCGCACTAGGGATGTTAGGAACCTTCACTATCCTTTATGCCTACTATAACATGTATGTGGAAATTTTAATGACAATAGTCGTGTACTTCTGATACGTGCCTGGACTTTACATGTGTCAATTCAATTTCCTTAGGTTTATCTATATGTCTACGTGCTTCTCGGAAATGGAAGAATCACCTAGAGGTTGTTCCCGCGGGTGTGGAGGGGTTCGGTGGCCACCAAACCCACTCCCTCCTATTACCACTCACCCACTGAGTATCCCGACACCTTCTGGTAGACCATCGGCTAGATGCCCATGCCGACGGTGGGAAATAGTGGTTCTACAAAAGTACTGATTCCCACCATCAGCCTTCCCCATAAACTCGGGGTGTCTTTGCCTCCTCTCGAGATGTCCAGGAGACCTCTCCCATCTCGTGGAGGTGGTTCTGTCGCCTGTTTACACCCGTACCCTTCTCTGGGACCACGTCTCAGAAATGACAGAATCACCCGGAGGCTACTCTGATGGGTGCATAGGGGTTCGATGGCCACCAAACCCACTCCCTCCTACTGCCACTCACCCACGGAGCATCCTAACACCTTTCGGTCGCCCATCGGCCCGACGGCTCAGGCCAACAGTGGGAAACGGTGCTTTTGTAGAACCACCATTTTCCAACGTCGGCCTTACTGATAAACCTGGGGTGTCTAAGCCTCCTCTAGGGACATAGAGAAGACAATCGTTTCGAGCTCTCACCGTTGTGGGTAGGCCAAATCAGATGCTCAACTTGGTTAGCTATGTGTTGCCAAAGTGTGATCGCATCTTGTGGTGACAACTAAGAGTGGTGCGTGGGTGCCTCATCCATTAGAGTTCGGTTAGGCAGTGCATGTTGTGCGACATGTACTGTGGAGTGTATGTTGTGTAGTGTGCGTTGTATGATGTACATTGTGCAGTCTGTGTTGTGCATTGTGCGCTATGCAGTATGTGCTGTGTAGTGTTTGTTGAACAGCTGATTGTAAAAAATTAGGTCTTTATTGACGTGAATCACTGATAGTACGTCCTCAAATTCCTGGTTTTCCAACTCCTCAGTACGGGCTTCCCACCGAGGTCTTTTAGCCTGTAGGTACCAAGTCCGAGGACTTCGATCACTCTATAGGGTCCTTCGTAGTTTGGTTCGAGCTTCCCTTCTCTTGGCACGAGTACTATGACTTTGCGAAGGATGAGGTTGCCTGTCTTGAACTATCTTCTTTGGACTTTGGAGTCATAGTACTTGGCCATTCTGTACTATTGCGCTGCCATCCTGAGGTATGGTCGGTCACGTACTTCTTCCATGAGGTCAAGCTCTGCGGGAAGGTCCTCGTTGATCTGCTCGCCATAGTAGAACTTAGTTCGGAGAGTTGGGGAGCCTATCTCTACAGGGATCATGGCTTCGGCCCCGTATGCTTGGCTAAATAGTGTATCTCCAGTGGCTGCCCGCAGTGTGGTACTGTACGCCTAGAGAATGCTCGATAGTTCCTTGACCCACCTTCCTTTGACCATGTCAAGTCTGGTCTTCAGGCCATGTAGTAGGGTTCGGTTGGTCACTTTGGTTTGTCCATTGCTCTGTGGTCTGTGAATGGTTGTGGTTCGGTGATCTATCTTCAGGTCGACGTAGAAGGCTTCGAACTTACGATCGGTGAACTGAGCACCATTCTCGGTGATGAGGACTCGAGGAATGCCGAACCGACAAACGATGCTATGCCAGAAGAAGTTCCAGGCATTCTGCGTGGTAATACATGCTAAGGCTTCGGCCTCCACCCACTTGGTGAAGTAGTCCATTGCGACCTTTTGCCCAACCATGGTAGGTAATGGTCCTCCATTCCTTGCTGAGCGAAGGGCTACGGACTTGTGATCGGCTTTAGAGAAACCGTCGGCTGATGATGAAGGTTAAAGTGTCTTTGATAGTGGTAACACTTTCTGACGATTTGAGCTACATCCTGCTTCATGGTCGGCCAGAAGTAGCCTTGCCGAAGTGCCTTATGATCCAGGGTTCGTGCACTAGGGTGATCTCCGCAAATACCATCGTGTATCTCCTTAAGGACATAGTCGGCCTCGAAAGGTGAGAGACACCTTAGATAGGGGAGAGTGTGTGACCGACGATAGAGCTATCCCTAGGTGAGGTAGTATTGGACTGACCTGTATGTGACCCTCTTGGCTTCGGCTCGGTCTTCTGATAGTGTGCCATCCCGAAGGTATTGTGCTATGGGGGTCCATCCAGGACGAGCATTGCTAAATAAGGAGGATGAGGAAGGTTGTGGGCGAGATGCTGGGCTGAGCTAGTATATCCATCCAGACTATTGGGTCGAGGTCTGACTATGGTGAGCTAGCAAGTTTCGAGAGTGCATCAGCTCATGTGTTCTCGACTCGAGGGATCTACTAAATGGTGAAGTGTTCGAGCCGTTCGATGAGCTCTTTCACCCATTGCAAGTAGCTTGCCATGGTTGGTGTCCTTGCCTTGAATTGGCCGTGAATCTAGTTGACCACCAGTTGGGAATTACTGAAGGGTTCTACTCGCCAAGCACCGAGGTCTAGGGCGAGTCGAAGTCCGACGATCAGAGGTTTATTCTCAGTTCCATTATTGGATGACTTGAATCCGAACCTGAAGGCGTGCTCCAATACAATATTGTGGGTTGGATAAGCCATCCACGTGTAGAGTCCAAACCGGCAGTGGTGTGACTGGACCTTGTGCCGAAAAGGTGCACTCAACCATGAAATCGGCCAAGGCCTAGGCTTTGATTGCAGGTACAGTGCGTAGTCGATGTTGAGCTCACTCAATTATACGCTCCATTTAACTAGGTGGCCTGTTGCTTCCAGCCTTTGTATCGAGAGGTTGGTCGGTAAGCACCCAAACACCGTGGGCTTGGAAATAGGGTCTGAGCTTTCTTGTCGAAGTGACTAGGGCCAGGGCGACCTTCTCTAGATTCGAGTACTAGGTTTCAACGCTATTGAGGACCTTTCTAGTGTACTAGATCGGCCTTTTGGTGTCTCCAGAAGAATGTCATTAACCACTTCGGAACACCAGTTTAATATTTATAAAATTTTACAATTCTTAAACAATTACAAACGCAGTAAAATGATGAGAATGGGCCATATCTACAAGGAAGCGAGGGAAAAGTTAATGTGTACTCAAATCCAGACAAGAGAACACAAGATGGAAGTGTAGAAATATAAAAATTAATTAATTAAACTGAAAAAGATAGAATTCGAACATTGCAGAAATTAAAAGTGCAGAAAAATAAATAAATACAACAATAAATAAATAAAAGAAACTAATTAAAATGTTTGTAATCTGATCAGAGGTAGCAGTCTCCAGATCTCTCCTTCAACCCTCGAACTTCTCGAGCTAGGCCTTTCGTCTTACCAGGCCGAATTCCAGATCTGCAGAAAAGAAAACAAAGATTAAACTGAATGAAAATAAATTGCAAAATGGAAATAACGAAACTGGAATTGAAAGAACTGAAATTAAATCTAAGGCTAATGATTGGGATCCAAATCCAGAGGTGGCAGTAGTGGTGTTGGTGAATTGCAAGCAAGAACCTTTCTTCTTGCTTAGGCATCCTCCTCTTCCTCCACCCTTGAACTTCTCAAGATCAACCTTCTATCTTACCTGGGGGCAGAATCCAACCCTTTCTCAGGAGCCCTTGGGTCCTTTTTATAGAGAAGGGTGGACACAACTAGGATTAGAGTGAAAGAAGGGGGCGGCAGCTAGGTTTTAGTAAAGATATGGGCGCCCTAGGGTTTCTAATGGAGGGTTAGGATGATTTTGGGGTGATCCTGAGGTTGAAAATAGGAGAGGGCGCCCAATACTATGTAGGGCTGAGATTTGGGTGCCCAGAAATAGATGGTAGAGATTGAGATGCCTTGGGCTAAAAGGTGGAGATTAAAAGAGGTGGGTGGTGCCCTAAAGTGGATGGCTGAGATAGAAGATGGAATGAAGGGCTAAGATCTAGTGGTTAGGGGCTGAATGATGAGGATTAGCAGTTAGGTGGTGCCCTAGGGTTTAAAAGCTACAAAAAGAGTGCCCTAGAATGAGCAGTTGAGATTAAAAGAGGTGGAGGGTGAAATTAAACACTTAGGGGTGATTAAGGTTGGTAAGAGTGAAAAGAATGGGTTAAAAGGCGCCCTAGGATTTTCTAAGGCGTGAGGAGCATGCTAATACAGTAGGAGGGGCGCCAAACTGGGTTTGGCAGATAGGAGGCGCCCTCCTGCTCTCAATTTTTCACAAAAACACTCTTCTCTCAGCTAGACTTCACACCAGCTTCACAAAAGTTGCATTTCAGCCATGAAAACTTCCCTGTTTTGCATAGAATTTGCACAGAGACCCTCAGAGGTCACAATATTGAAATTGACTGGGAATAGGGCACACTTTGACTTTTCTAAGGCCGAAAATACCCCTGAATTGATTCCCTTAAGGCATCAAAATGCAAAGTTATCACACCCCCCAACTTAACCATTGCTAGTCCCTTAGCAATGCAGCCTTAAAATTACACTGAGCATAGAGATCATTCCCATTGCAAGATCATCCCTAACAAAATTAGCTAAGTATCCTTATTCTAGCATTCTCAAACTTTGTATAGATCGGTATTGGGCTTAAGGGGTAAAACTGTCATACTTTGAATATCGCAGAAACTTGAATTAAAAATCTTATTTACCCTTCCATTTGCTTCTTATCATTTTTTATAGTGGATTTCTACCCCTGAACTTGATATGCAAACTTATTTTTATTGTTACCTTCCACCGTTATACGCGAATCTCAACACTTGCCTTAGGTGAAGAGACTCGGTTACTAAGTGTTAGGTAAGTGTCTTTTGTTAGACAATTTTTGTATGCCCTTAGCTTCAATCAGTTTTGATGTACTTTTGATATTTAATGTAAATAAATAAAGTACATGTTTGATTCATGTTGTGTGGTATGCTTCTGTGTAAGACCCTAAAACTAGACACTTAATGAGACTTGTGTTAATTTTAAATGTTCACATCCGTTGGATAAGTCTGGGGAGATTTATGCTACCGAGGTTGACACTAGTGTGCTACCAACTGTTGCGGTGGCTTGTCTTAGCTGTTAGGGTGAGACCCAAGGAACACGCAGTGTAGGATTACTTGAACCCTTGAACCGGACCAGATTTCTAGTGTTGCCATGGACCTTGGAGACTGATGGGCAAAACTGGAAAGTTACACATGACCCCTAGACTCGATTATGATACTGCACTAGGTGGTGGATTGGGCTGTCTTTGATATGCCAATCAGTGAGATCCTCAGAGGGGGTCAAAACCTGGGTATGTTGGGACGGTTCATGAACCCATCTGAGTGGGTGATCATAGTGACGGAATCAGCCCCTTTGTCGGACAAAGGTAATGATCGGGGATGCACTCTCTCTGATGGAAACCAAACTACCGGCAGTTGATTTCAAT